GGTCTGAGCAGGGGACAGGGCAGCTGGGACCAGTACCTGGCAATCCTGCAACACGTCTGGATTCCAGGAAGTGTGCAACTACACTTCCCCTTCCTAAACATCTGGCACGTGCACTGCCTGAACAGCAGGGGCTGTTGCACTCCAGCAACTTACTTCCGTGATGCCGTCCTGCGATCGGGAGGGTGTGGGGAGTCCCAGGGCAGAGTACGCTGCCTGCACAGTTGGAGCTGCGCAAATCCGAGTCTCCTGGCGCCCCGCCCCCGCACCGTGCAGAAAGGCCGTGGAAGTAAGTTACCGGGTGCCACAGCCCCAGCTGTTCAGGCAGCACACGCCGGCTCCTTTGGGGAGGGGGAAGTGCTTCCCTCCCTGCTGTGGGTCACGTGGGGTCACCCCTGTCCAGCACCCCCCTAGTGTGCCGGCTGGGAGCAACTGTTCCCCTCTGTCCCCGCTTCGCTATGCCTCTGCATTGCCAGGGCGGAAGGGGAACCAAGTGTGCTGCTTCTTTAAGCTGGTTAGCTGGCTCTCAGAGGAGGTGGGGGAGTGCTGGCTCCTTGCGGAACCCCTACTTTCACTTTGCTGGACCCCAATTGGGAAACACTGCATTAGACTCTTATCCTTACAAATTTCAGATTTACTCTACATCCTAAATGTAAAACACCCTAGTTATTTTTCCATATACCTTACTCTGGAAGGATCTATAGATCAGAGAAAGAGAGATATGAGTAACTAGTTTGGCAGTGTCTGTGGGAAATGAAGGGGATACTCCGTTGCAGGACTCAGCTAAATGGAAATTGCCTAAATAAGCTGCAGAAGTTAATTTCCACTGATGTATAAGAACAACAGCCCAACAAGAATGCAGTTTATCAGCTGTACAGTTTGATATATATAATCCATAATTACATTAGGTGAACTGTAATAATACATATAGCAAGTTGACTCAAACACTTAAGATTCTGAACAGAAGAAATTACATATTTGAATTATGTCATTATGAATTACCTGATGTGATACTGGTAACTCTGTCTGGATTTTTAGACATGATTTTCTTCCCTTCTGGGATGTCACAGGTTAGGGCTCTTTCAATTTCTGAGAACCTGGTGGAGAGAAATAAATCATAATTCTCAGACTTCTGGACATACTATACTTCCTTTTCCCATTCCTATGGGTACCTATCTTCCTTGTTGAGACAAAGGATTCATTTTGACTTAGTCCAGCAGAGGGCAGTTTCCTCTTTCCACAGAAGAGACGAGATCTACCTTACCAAATCCAAAATCTGCTGCACCACTTCTAGCCCTATTTGCTATGTCTGTCACTCTTGAAGAAAAATATTGTTTATTTTGGATGACTTTTATAAGTCTTGCATTTTATCCTTTTAGAGTTAGAATCATCATTTGCTAAGTTTTTTCTTTGCCACATTTCTGGCATAGATCCAAATTCTATAGATAATTTTTCCTTACTCAAAAAAGACTCAATTGAAGTCTCTCTTAATATGGGGATTTTAGGCATCAATTCAGCAAGTTATTTAAGAACATGCTTAACTATCTGTTGAATTCAGGTCCAATGACAACCAAAGATTTATAGGAAGTCTGAACGTAATATGCATCTTTAAGAAGATATTTAGGGAAAAATACAATCAAACATCCATAAAAAATGCAGCTGCACTGTGGCTTAATCCTGTGAGGTGCTGAGCACTGAAATTCATTAGCAATTCTGGTTGCGTGGAATCTCCCGAAAAAAGCATTCAGTAAAGTGCAGGACCTTAGATTCTAGCCTCTTTTGATAAAATAGTGTGTTGCATGTGTTTGTGCAGCACAACGGAAAACTGCTGGTGCTCACTAAAGTTTATTCCCAGAATAGTTTTTACTTTCTTCTGTATTTAGAATGAATATCTAGATTGGAGTTATTCCCTCAAACGGAGTTCAGGGGGGTAGTTTTATATTTTGTTCCATTTGAGAGTCCTATGAAATTTACAGTGGTAGAAATGTAGTACTTCTCAACTGAATAACCTTATTAACAACTCAAATTCTTTAGTTCAAACAAAAATAAAAACATACAGAATCCCCAAAACATAACCTCTCTCCCTTTATACAGACACAGAGTGCTGTTCAGAAACAAATGGCACAAGTTCTCTAGATTTATTGTATATTTGAAGCTAGGTGCATATTGGATTTCTCACAAACTTTTGCTTCAAGGAATAACCATCCTAAAATTTTACCTGCTGAAATCAATTGCTGAACTTTTCTAGAATAGAACTAATCAATGTCAATGGGATGCCATCCTCACCCCTCAATAGTAGTGGTTGCTCCTTTGGCGATTATAAACATTACTGAAGTCTACATTTTAAAGTATTTAAGTACCACTGTAATTAAATTCTTACCTAACATTGCAGACCAAGGAAGAAAGGAAATATTGCTCCTCAATAGAAGTGTTCTTTTTGGGTTTAGGAATAAATTTGTTATCTTCTGCTATATTCAAAATTGCATGCTTTCCTGCTTTTGATGATTTATACAGCCGGAAATTTCTATTCCTTGTATAAACGCCTAGAAAGAGAAGAGAGAGAGAGAGAGGTTTCATAATATATTTACAGTTGGCTAGGTTCTTTCATATGTATTGTTTATACACAATATTTGGCAGTATGAGAAAAAAGCATTTAAAGGTATAAAACACAAACATATTTAGTCCAGTTCATTTCTCACACTAGGGTTATATAGCAGGGTAAGAATGAATCATGCAGTCATATATTTATCCATAACATTCAAATATAAGGACAATCATTCAAAAGGGATGTACAGGCATTTTAAGTAAATACTACAGTTCTTTGGTACTGTTTCACAATCTCCCATTCTAACTGTTTTCCTAGCATAAAAGACCTTGTAACTGCCACACCTATCAATTTCCTGTTCTATCAGTGATTATATCATAGTCGTATTTCAACATGTATGGAAGTCAGAAAAATGCAATTTGCATCCCAATCTCAAAACAAATATAGATTACCAATTATGAGCCATGGGACCTGAGACTTTTTTTGGCGGGGAAAGAGATGGAAGAAAAGGGTTGTTTAATTCTGTGACTGAATTTAGTTCTCATGAAAGTAAAGGATTAAGATTCATGACCAGTTTATTGCTGGAAGTGAAGTTATAAGCATTTCCACCCATTCTGTCAATGCATCTCAATTTTGTCTGGAAATATCTGCTCCAATTTTTTCTTGGTCTTTGTTCTAGTTCACTGTGCACTAAAGCCAAAACTGAAGTAAAAAAAACACAAACCATGTTATCAGCTTAGTGTGTCATACAACTATACCCTTCCACATTTTTTATTCATTAATCACTGCAGGAGTTACTGTTAACATATGCTACATTTGTACTACAGCTGGGATTGACAATCTGAGATCGATCCACTGGCAGTCAATTAAGTGGGTCTAGTGAAGAAGGCCCACCAAACCAACTGCAGACTGCTCTGTAGTCAACCCCTGACTAGAAGAGTAAAGTAAGTCAATGAGAGAGTTTCTCCTGTCAACCCCCTACTGTGTCTACCCCAGCAGTAACTCAATGCAAGGTATATTGACCAGCTACATTATTCACATAGCTGGCGTTGCATAATTGTACACATTTGTTTGTCTGAGTGATTGGCTGAACAAGAAGTAGGACTGACTGGATTTGTTAACTCAAGTTTTACACTGTTTTATTTTGAATGAAGAGGTTTTTTGTACATAATTCTATATTTGTAAGTTCAACTTTCATGATGAAGAGATTGCACTACAATACTTGTATGAGATAAAATTCAATAAGGACTAATGTAAAGTACTCCACTTAGGAAGGAACAATCAGTTTCACATATACAGAAAGGGAAGTGACTATCTAGGAAGGAGTACTGCAGAAAGTGATCTAGGTGTCATAGGGGACCACAAGCTAAAGATGAGCCAACAATATAACAATGCAATAAAAGCAAACATCATTCTAGAGCAGGTTAGACAAACATCTATCAAAAGGATTCTAGATGGTGCTTGGTCCAGTCATGAGTACAGGGGACTGGACTTGATAACCTCTTGAGGTCCCTGCCAGTTCTAGTATTCTATGATTATATTAATTGAAAAATATGTTTTTGTTGTTTATAGAGCAAATATTTATATTAAAAATAAATGTGAAGCGAGCACTATACACTTTGTATTGTGTCATAGTTGAAATCTATATATTTGAAAACATCCACACATATTTTAAATAAATGGTATTCTATTATTGTTGTAACAGTGCAATTAATTGTGCAATTAATTTTAATTGCTTGATAGCCCTACTTTACATTATGTATACAAAGTGTTCAGAAACATACCTTCCTTACACTTATAAAACTATTAAACACTCTTCTAGCCCCCATCTTTGTGATCAAGCCACCCCCAACTAAGTGAGCCACCCCCAACTGAGAGTTTTTACTTATGTGGAATATAACTAAACTAAAGTAATACTACAAGTTCCACAAGCAAGTCAATATTTAAGGCCAAATTTAAAACATGCCTTTTAAAATCATTTGTTTGATTTTTATTTAATTGAATACTGCATTTTGTTGTATCTTTATTACTTAATGATATTGCTATACATTAAACAGAACACTGTGCAAATGGTGCTGTGGTAAAAGCTTACATAGTCATTGGCTACTTAACCTTTGTTGCATTCCAGTACACTTAACTGTAATAGGAGTATTATACACATAATATGGAGCCTAATTCTCACTTACGATGTGCATGCTAATTAGGGATGCAAAAGGTTAACCAATTACCGGGTAAGCATTAGGCTTATCAGAATGCTTACTTGGTAACCAGTAGGGCTGTCAATTGACCTGCGTTAATACCTGCAATTAACGCGGGACAGGATTAATGTGTTAATTTTTTTAACATGTTAATCGCAGGCATTAATGCTGTGTTGCCTCTTTGAAGTGCCACTATGGCACTTCAAAGGGGCTTTGCAAAGCAGAGCCGGAGATCAGCTAGAGTCCCCAGCTGATCCCTGGCTCCAAAATGGCATTTAAAAGGGGCAGTGCAAGCGGAGCCAGGGATCAGCTGGCCCTTTCGAAATGCCACAGCGGCGCTTCCAAAGGGCGGTACTGCATGGACTCAGGGGGTCAGATGGCAACTCCAGCTTATCTTGGGCTCTATACAGCGCTGCCTCATTGAAACGCTGCTGCGGCGTTTCAAAGAGGAGTTGCTCATGTTTAATCGTGATTAAAATTTTTAATCGCTTGACAGCTCTAGTAACCAGTTAACCAGACTGCCAGCTGCATGGAGCTAGTTGGCATGAACCCAGCCAGGTCAGGATGGCAGACAGGCAGGCTGCATGGCAGGCAGGCGGGACCCTGGCTATGGCAGCCTAGTGGGGACAGACTGGACCTGCTGGCCCCACCGGTGCTCCGCCCCCACCTTGCTGCCAGACTTGCCCTGGCCACCACCTTAGTGGCCCCAACATGCCTGCCCTCACTGCTGCTGCAGTGACCACAACCTGCCTGCCCACAGCCTTGGTAAGATCTCCCACCCTTGCTGTCCTACCCCACCAATAGTTAATTGGTTAAACAATATAATTTTAATCATTTAACTAGTTAACTGTTTTGATCAATATTTACTCCCTAAGGCAAACGTCTCCTTTCCCCAGGCCTCATTTTCTGTGCAGAGTTTGGCCCAATGCTGTCAGTAACTAATTTTCATATTTACCCAGATCGACAACAAGTTGCTTGCCTCCTTCCTTATCATTTACAACTAAAAAGGAAAGATCTGGATTTTCTTTCTGTTGCAGTGTTCCATTTTCCAGCATTTTGTGTTTATTAGATTGCCATTTCCCAGAAGTCTGCTTCACTGCACCAATGTTTATAACAGAACCATCTAATTCAGTTGTCGCTTTGGAAGAGTGGGAAACACCGTCCATCCCTTCTTCAAGAATAAGAGCATCAGCTTTATTTTCAGTTAAAGTAAGAGCAGGTTGCAAAATTCTTTTCACAAAATTACCTTTAAAAATAATAAGAAAAAATGTATTAGGGTATTTAGTCACAAGTTAAATCTGCATTTAATAGGTTTTGTGCAAAGACTTTTAAGTGAAAAATCAAGATAGAGCATCCCTCTCTTTTTCCTAAGCTTGGTGCACTACCTGTGCTTTTACCTGCTAAATGGGAGGCCCAACTCTTGGAGAAAGGACATAAGAATGGCCATACTGGATCAGACTAAAGATCCACTTAGCTCAGGACCCTGTCCTCTAACAGTGGCCAATGCCAGGTGCCCCAGGGAGAATGTACAGAACAAGTGATCCGTTCCCTGTCATCCATTCCCAGTGTTGACAGAGGCTAGGGACACCATTTCTAATCATCCTGGCTAATAGCCATGTATGGACCTATCCCCCATGAATTTATCTAGTTCTTTTTTGAATCCAAATAAGTTTTGGCTTTCACATCTGGTATAGAGTCTCCCAGGTTGATGAGTATTAACTTTAGTTGAAATTAAAGTTTGTGCTGCTGGTTTTTGTTAAATGGGTATGGAAGAACTATCCATATTTTGTGCTATCGTTCTCTCATGCCCTTTGCCGTCTTGTGAGCTCCTCAGAGAAGGAGCCATTTGTTTCTATATATTTGTACAGCACCAAGCAACAACTGGTCCCACTGGGTACCACCTCAAAAGAAACCAATAATTAAAATTGAACATGTTGTGAAAGGGAAATGTGTAGTAATCTCACTACAGCCTCTCTAACTAAAGTTTCACATTGAGGAAAAAATATTGGATGCCTGTACAAAGTCCCAGTAAACAAGCCTTGTGCAGGGTTTCAAAGGAAAATCATACTCTTCTCTACCAACTTGATAGGAGGGCACTTGCTATTGCCTAACGACTGTTACTACTGGTGATTGTCTGATGCTTCATCCCTGATTAGAGCACATAAGGCTGCTGATTTTATTAAAAACTGCCAATGATCAGCATAAGCCAGAATTTTGGTTTAGACAATGACTGTGTTCTTGGATCTCCCATTAGACCACTAGATTAGATTTCCAGTAAACAAAAGTGATGCTCCACTTTCTTAGCAAATTGAAACCTTAGTCTGTGAACACTTACAAACATTACTGTACGTTATTTGAAGGGTACTGGACAACATGTCTGAACTGTGGCATATGAGGGACCATTAGCCACTACAGCAGTGGTCTCAAACTGTCAGCCCATGGGTCATCCCCAGCCAGAGCAATTGTGCAATCCAGTCTGGCACTCCAAGTGAGCTGGGCAGGGGAAGCTTGTCACCACCACCCCCAAGCCTGATCCCTTCCCTCCATTGCCCCATTCTCTGTCCCTGAGAACATAGCTTTGGGGATCACCGGGGCGCCTGGTGCCATGTGGTGTCAGCATTTGAGTCCCTTGCAGTCCCCAGGGTGGCAGGAGCCACAGGGGAAGTGGAGCACAATAGGTGCACAGTTCCTGCCAGTGCAAGGGCTCAACCACTGCCACTGACCCATGCCAGGCCTCCCTGCTTATCCTCAAAGCCACATCCTCAGGGATGGAGTACATGGGGTGGTGGGGGAGTCAGTGGTGGAGGAAAGGGGCCTGGCTTGGGAGGGTTAGTAGTAGACAGCCTCCCCCTCCCGCTCTCTGGGAGTCCTGGTCTGGATTGTGCAATAGTGGTGGCTAGGTATGGCTCACAGTCGGGGAGTTTGAGAACCCTGGACTACAGCTTGAGGACTGAACAACACTGTGCATGAATGAATGAGTGCAAGACCACGGTTTCAATGGAGCTGATCTTGCTTACACAGCTGTGAATTTAATCTCTTTGTTTTAATTTTGTCAAAGATTGGTAGAAAAGTAATATTCTAAAATATTAAGCCAGGAAGTCCGGTGGGTGAACAGCCAGTGAAGTAGGGGGATAGCAGCAGGAACCTGAAATGACCTCCTCAGGTCTGACAAAATCCCTCTTTCAGGACCAGTCAGGTCTAAGGGTGCCCAACTTGTACTAGCCAAATGAAAACAATGAACAATATGCTGCTTATGCTATATGCCAGGTGAGGATAGTAACACTGTTGACCAACATTTCCTATTGTAGGAATCTGTTTGAAGTAGGGATGTGAATGGTTAACCGGTTACCCAGTAAGTGTCACCCTTGCCAGGTAATGCTTACTGGTTATGGTTAACCGGCAGGGGCTAGAATAGCAGGTCTGGGCACTCCAGCCTGGTCAGAGCAGCCCCCACCCTTGGTGGACCAGGCCTGGCACACCATGGACAGGGGTGTTCCAACCCAGCCAAAGCAGCCCCCTGCCTGTGATGGGGAGTAAGCGGGAGTGGGGGGATTCTTCAGCCCGCCCCCATTTAATTGGTTAATCAGTTAAACAGAATGTTTAACCATTTAACTACTTAAATGGGATTTTACATCCCTAGTATGAAGTTGCCAGTCTTATCTGTTTGGTTTGAAATTTTCCATGTGAGGTATCAGAGGGATAGCTGTGTTAGTCTGAATCTGCAAAAGAGACGAGGAGTCCTGTGGCACCTTATAGACTAACTGAAGTGTAGGAGCATAAGCTTTCGAGGGCAAAGACCCACTGACTAAGTGTGTCTTTGCCCTCAAAAGCTTATGCTCCTACACTTCAGTTAGTCTATAAGGTGCCACAGGACTCCTCGTTGCTTTTCCATGTGAGGTGTCTGCCATAAGCTGGTTTCTTGTTCCTCCCCACTCCCTTCTTTCTTTTTTGGAGCAGGGAAGAGACAGGAAAGAGGTTTTAGCCAAAATAATTTAGCTGCTTATAAAACTGAGATTGGGGAAAATATGTTTTGCGATATTATAAAAGATTCTATTGTCCTCCTCTTTGATAACTTCCAGAGCCCTTATCTTTGAACCAGTAACTTGAAATTTGGCAGGGTATGCCTTTGGGCAAGGATTTGTACATACCTTTTGCTGTTACCTTGAAAATCTGGTCAAGTTATAAAATTCTGAAAAATATCTCTGTTCATACATGCACAGTAAACACTTATTACAGCTTTACAGCTAAAATTGCAACAGAGTCTGTCTTCATTGAGCATGCTATATCCCTCACAGCCCCAGGCTGTGTATGATTGAAGTCCTGATAGGATTATAATTCAGAAAAATCTGAACAAACTGGAGAAATGGCTTGAGGTAAATTAAATTCAACGAGGACAAATGCAAAGTACATATTGAACTTCTCTAATCCAGAACTCTCTGGTCCAGAAACATCCGTCATCTGGAATGATTTCAGTTAGCTGGATGTCCACTTTTCATGAGTGTGGCCAAGTTTCCGGTGGTCCCATAAAGTTTGTTTTAAGCCACTCCTTCCTAGCTCTTAGTGTTCAGTGCTGTTATTTAACTCTAATTTATCCCTAAATATCCTCTAACAGCCCAGTAAGCAGTGGAAGTATCGGTAACTCTGGCAGACAATATTGACCTTCTGTGGTTCAGAAAACACACTCATTCGGAACTGGTCAGGTCCCAGGGGTGCAGGACTAGAGAGGTATACTCCACTTAAATGGGAAGTGACTGTCTAGGAAGGAGTACTACAGAGTAAGTCATAGTGGATCACAAGCTAAATATGAGTCAACAATGAGACACTTACAAAAACGCAAACATAATTCTGGGAACCATTAACAGGAGTTTTGTAAGCAAGACATGAGAAACAATTCAACCAGGATGGGTAGGAATGGTATCCCTAGCCTCTGTTTCTTTGGAGGTGGGTGACAGGGGAAGGATCATGTGAGGATTACCTATTGTGATCCCTCTGGGGCACCTGGTGCTGGCCACTGTCAGCCGACAGGATACTGGGCTAGATGGACCTTTGGCCTGACCCAGTATGGCTGTTCTTATGTTCTTAACTGGAGTATCATATCCAGTTCTGGGCACCACATTTCAGGAAAGATGTAGAAAAATTGGAGAAGATCCAGAGAAGAGCAAAAATATGATTAAAGGTCTAGATAATATGACCTATGAGGGAAGTTTGAAAGAACGGGGCCTGTTTAGTCTTCAAAAGGGAAAACTGAGAGGGATAGCTGTCAATTACCTCAATGGATGTTACAAGAAAGAGAGAGAAAAATGATTCTCCTTAACCTCTGATAATAGGCCAAGAAGCAATGGGCTTAAATTGCAGCATGGGAGATTTAGGTTGGACATTAGGAAAAACTTCCTAGCTGTTAAGGTGGTCAATCACTGGAATAAATTGCATAGAGAGGTTGTGGAATCTCCATCATTGGAGATTTTAAGGGTAGATTAGGCAAAAACCTGTCAGGGATGGTCAGAGATGGTGATTGGTCCAGTCATGAATGAAGGGGACCGGACTTGCTGACCTCTTGAGGTTCCTTTCAGTTCTATGATTCTGTGTATTATCCTCACAGAAATGAGAAGTCCTGCAGCACCTTAAAGACTAAGATATATTTGAGCATAAGCTTTTGTGGGTAAAAAACACTTCCGTTTTTACCCATGAAAGATTATGCCCAAATAAAATTGTTAGACTTTAAGATGCTACAGAATTCCTTATTGTTTTTGCAGATGCAGACTAACAAAGCTACCTCTGAGACTCATCCTCACAAAGTGATAGCACATGCTCCATGAGAACGGTTGCAGGGGCAACGTCAGATTTTCTTTGTAATTGTTGCTCCAGGCTGAGGTATGGCCAGCGACTGGAAATGAGAGCAAGGAACCTGTCTCTCCAGCCCTCTCAAATCACCCCCAGGCAGCTTTTTTTTACTCCTACAAAATGAAAGATTTTATTGTAATTCCATTGGTGTCAATAGCAAAACTCCCAGTGACTTTAACGGGAGCAAGAATAAGGCCCAATGTGGGCATTCAGGGCCAGATTCTTGGTTCCAGTTTGGCTTCTTTCGAGCTCTCTAGAGCACATAACAGCCAAAAATCTGCTCTGAAGGACTCCTGAATGTTCTCCCTGCATGGCAAACTCTCTGGCTAACATAGGGCTAGCTATGCAGGTACTACACCACTTCCTGCAAGCCCCACAAGAATAAGTGGCACTGTTCTTTGGTGA